TCTGAAAAGCCTTGACCTGGTGCAGAAAGACAAGAGCCAGTCACAATTTCCACTAATCACGATGTACAAGGATCTGCTGAGACTCAGAGACAAGCCCAGTACAGCAAACATTTTCCCTGGCTGAAGATGTCTCACTCCTGCTGGAAAAGAGTGTTGCAGTCAAAGAATCCCAACACCAGGGGGCAGCAGAGAGCCAAGCAGACTGATGCCATTCCCTGGGCTGCTTTACTCCAACATGCTCAAAAAAACAGATCTGCTTAAACTTAAAACTGAGATGTCTACCGAGGGACGTGACTCATGTATCACATGCCCTTAAAGGCCAGGACAGTCACTCCAGTGAACATCTTCAGGATTAACAGTCAAACATGAGCCACAGAGGTGGAAACTACAGGTTATTGTATTTAAGACTGAGGACAAGTGGCACGTCTTTACACAAAAGGCTGTGGGAGTCTGGAACAATTGCCCAAGCAACTGTGGCACAGCTTAGGATCCTACAGGAAATGGCTAGACAAGTTTCTGGAGCCACCAGCAGCAAAGCAACTAAGTGAACAAGTTGAGCCAAACTGCCTTCTCTGTTTAATGAACTATCTTGCTTGCTTCCACATACTTTCACAGCACTCCGCTCTGGGACAGCAGAGGAGGTCAGCAGGAATAAAATAGGAAGCAGCATTCACGGTTTCAACCAGGCACTGCAGGGGTCACTGAACCGCAGCCCATGCCATGGCTCCAGCAGGCCCTCACTGCCAGTGGTTCATCTGACTTGTGTCCTCATCACATTGAGCCAGCGCCCCCTGCTGCCTGTACCCTATCACAGCAAGTCTTACTATACTGACGTCATTAGGAGGGGCTTCCATTATTCCACTCTCTGAAAGGTGTGGCACTCTTTGTGTCTTGAAGGCGAACAGCCACTGAAGAATGAGTTTGACTAGTCACTCGAATGCTTTAAGAAAAAACAGGGCTGATAAAGGCCCCCACCCTCCCCAACATCACATCCAAAAAACCTCAAGAAGAAAGCACTTTTCATCTAGGTTTCCCATGTTTCTTAGGGCAGCAGCTTGCAACAATCAAAACCAATATCAACTACTCCTTCTGCTTGCTGAGGGTCGTACTAGAAACAATAAGGTGAACTGCAGGCGCTCAGAAACTGGCATTTCAACAGCACGAGAACAATAGCAGCCCTGTTCCTCTGGACTATCAGAAGGTGTGAACGGGGGACTGGCATTCATTAACAGCTGTTAGCGGGAGCTAATTCTAAGAGACACAAGGTCAGTTTCAACCCCCCCATCCTGCTGGCCACCCTTTTCCAGTTTCTGATTCTGATGTGCTTTGTGAAGGACAGATCACAGTCATTTGTTTTTCCTAGGTCACTCCTGGCTAAAAGAAAACGGGCAGGTAGACAGCCAGTCCCACGTTCCAAAAGGCGCAGGCCATGACTGCCATATACTCACTTTAAGAGCCAGTACACCAGCACAGCACAGGCGTTTGCTAGCTGCTGGTTTTTGCTTTGAAAACACCCTGAATCAACACCTCCTCCACTGCCACATCCCTGGTGCCTTCTTCACCCTTAGTTAAACGACTCCCATGCCTGTTTCACCCCACTGCTGTAAACCATTTACCAGTGACTGAGTACTGAGGATCTCTGACTGTCCCCAGACGTCTACCAGCACTACTATCTATCCCTGCAGCCAAACTGGGAACAGGAGATGAACATCACAGCAAGAAGCAGCCCCTGGTCAGATCCGTAAGTGGCAGAAAATGTGCAGGACTGGAGTGGGGAGAGAATAGAACCATTTGTCCTCATCCCAGTGCAGCACACCATGGAAGACTCCCACAGCCCAGTATGAGCAGAACTGGTTAAGTGAAAGTAACAGATAAAGGACAATATGGGCTGAAGGGCCTCTTTTCGTTTGTAGAGATTCTGACGTCCTAAATTGCTTAATCTGTGAATCGGGTTCCCCAGCCAGAGTGTAGGGTGAGAACAGACACACAGAACCCACAATCCCTTTGATCTTAACATCTCCCTGGTTAGCTCCCAGTAAATGTGTTTCAATATCACTACTAGATAAGCTATTTAATAACATGCAGAGAAAAGTTTCTTTTTTCGGTTTGTGATATGATTTACATGTATTTCTGTCACCCAATCAATAATGCTCCTGGATGTGGATCAGCTGAATTTGAAATATATCCTGAAACCAACCTTATTCCCTCCTGCCGAGAGCCTGAAGACCGAGCACTAACAATCTGACACATTTCCCAACCCAATGGAGCGTCCCGTAAACACACACAAAAAAAAACGCAGAGCAAACAGGAGCAAACTGCCCCCATTGTGTCCGTCTAAAAGCCCCACTGCTGATTCTGCTCATCTGCCCCCTCTGCCAGCCCCTGCACCGGAGGGGGGGGTGCTACAATGAGTTGCCCCCAACTGTAGGTGTCCCTGCACAGAGGGTAGCCCTGCGAAGTACCCGCTGATTGATGGCACTGCTCTGGCAAGCAGCCTGTGTCCTGCCTCCCTCTCCTGCTCCTTCTCCTTTATCCCCTGCTTTTTGGCACTCATTTCCCACCCCTCCCTTCAGCTCTCAGGGGGCTCATTAATTACTACCCCCCCCCACACACACACACACACACACACTCACACACCCACCCTTCCCAGATACACACATTGTGCATGAGGGCAGGTGAGGCAGCTCCTCAAAAGGGTCTCTCACCCTGGGGCTCAGCTGTGTGTGGGGGTCTCCATGCCAGTTGCAGTGGGCATGTCTGTATGCGTGCCAATTAGAGTGAGTGTGTGCGTGCCAGCGAGGCTGAGAATTAGTGTGTGTGGACACATGCGAGCCAGTTATGGCGAGCAAGGGTGCCTATCTGTGTCGTTTCAAGGTGTGCGAGTCTGTCGGTCAGAAAGGTTGTGTGCTGTGTCGGTTTGCAAGCGTGTATTCATGGCTGTGAAGGGCGGCTTGAATGACTTGCGTGCCTGCGTTGATGTATTTTTGTACCCATTTTCACAGGAGTCTATTTCCGAACGGGTAGGTGCTCATGTGTTCGTGCTGTTGCACGTGGGTGTACACACACCTGTCCAATTGAAGGTGGGCTGGTGTCTCCCAGTGTTGCACATGGTTGTGCATCTTTCTTCACGCCAGCTTCCTTGCATAACTAAGCAATATTTTTTGGTATGCATGGGTACATGTGTATATGTCCGGGTGGGTGGATGTGTGTGTGTGTGTCTCTCTGTACCCTTACAGCACTGTGCATATTGCAATAGCTGCCCATAGCTGAGTTCAGTGAGTGTTGTTGAAGCAAAACCAGTCCAGATCTGTCAGCTATCAACTTGGTGTGAAAAAGCCTGCCTCAAAGTCTCGCAACATTGGGTGTCTGTACTTTTCCACACTCAGAAGGAACTTACAGATCAGAAAGAATGTCATTGCTGTGAACTCGGTGCATTTTTAATCAGCTCTGGTACTGAGAATTTTAGAAGTTTAGCATGAAATCAAGAAAGGAAAAAAGTTCATTCTAGGCAAGAAACAAAATAGATGGGTATACTTTAGGAACATGATCAATGTCAGGATTAAAACACCCCAAGTTGCAAGTCCTTATTGTTAATAATTATAATAATAATAATTGCTTTCACCTATATAGCACTTTTCTGGACACTCCACTCAAAGCGCTTTACAGGTAATGGGGACTCCCCTCCACCACCACCAATGTGCAGCATCCACCTGGATGATGCGACAGCAGCCATAGTGCGCCAGTACACTCACCACACATCAGCTAATGAAGCCAATTCATAGATGGGGATTATTAGGAGGCCAAGATTGGTAAAGGCCAGGGAGAAATTTGGCCAGGACACCGGGGTTACACCCCTAATCTTTTCGAGAAACGCCCTGGGGTTTTTAATGACCACATAGAGTCAGGACCTCGGTTTTACATCTCATTCGATGGACAGTGTCTTTTTACAGTATGGTGTCCCTGTCAATATGCTGGGGCATTAGGACCCACATAGGCCACAGGGTGAGCACTCCCTGACAGCCCCAATAACACCTCTTCCAGCAGCAACCTGAGTTTTTCCCCAGGAGTCTCCCATCCAGGTACTGACCAGGCTCACACCTGCTGAGCTCCAGTGGGCTGCCAGCTGTGAGCTGCAGGCTGATATGGCTGCTGGCGTTAAGAGTACAGATCTATTCATATTAGACACTACAGGAAATCAGATTTGAAGCACAGTTTGTTTATAATTCTACTACATGTTTTCTGTTCAGATGTATTGTAATCATTCATCTCATTTGCTATAATTACTGTATAATGTATTGCTATGCTTACTCTATAATGCATTGCATTGCTGGATTCTGTGGTTTTCATGATGTTAGTTTTGCACCAGGTATCTTCTCTCAGTTCTGTAACTGTGTCTCCTAGAATAAAGAGACCAGCATGATAGTCCATAACAGTTAGGTCTGCATCGTAACCTCACAGGCAAAATCCACCTGCTTGCTTCATACATTTGGGTTTGTCAGTGATCGGCACCTGATCACCAGAACGTTTTACTGGAATGTCTTCAGAAAGCAGGAAAAAGGAAGTGCCAGAGACAGTCAGGAATCTGCGACCCTTGATTCAGAATCTTATTTTAACACGAGGCCATCGATTAGTGCTTTTGGCACCCATGGGCTGAAGGTGACTCTTGATTGACAGATCTGTGGAAAAGGAGATTGTTGTCTCTTTCTGTAGGAGTTGGGGGTGGGGTGGGGGGTCTTTACTGGGGGAGAATTTCCAGTGAAACCAGTACTGTATGAGGAGAAGAAGGGCCAGGGAAGGCTAACAGGCATGATGGTTTTGAACCATTGACGTGCTTAGTCATTTTCCTGAGACGACGATGCCTAATGGCGGGCACAACTTGGGCGCCATTATCTAAACAAATGTGCCGTATAAAAATATTTAAACCATAACGTTTATTACAGACAAAAAAACAACTTTCCTGGTAAAAACGTCCAAATTATCTGGACCCGAAGGCGGCTTACCTGAAGAAATACACTTTGAATGTCTACACGGAAGGTGGTATCTGTACACAGATGTCGCTCGGCTCCAATACTACAGCTCCGGTGGCGACTCCTTCACCGGGAACAAACCCGCCGGGAGCCGTTAAGTCTTTCGGACGGCGTCGCGGCGAGGTGACAGTATTATTGTACTACTATGAGTAGTACATTTTATTTCCAAAGTCAAGGGAACGGTATAATGGCACAATATATAAATCTGCATTCGACTCGTGAGTGCAGAGACTACGACCCCGGCTTCGCCAGCACTGAGAATTAACGGAGAATTCGTCACCTCTTGGCCTCGTCTGATTTTAGTTTGGGGAAGAAAAAAAAACCTGGCTTCTCAAGCTCCGACGGGATTGAAACTTTCAGACAGCTGCCGAGCCCCCTCACGCGTTGGTTTGCGGTAAGTCTGACGAGCTGTGTCTAGTTTCAGAGGCGGACCTGCGCCGGCGCCGGAGCGATGTCTGCCCCCCAGCAAGGTGAGCTCTGCTTTGGGCCGGGCACCGCCGCCGGAGGTACACAGCCCTGATTGGCGCGTTTGTTTTAGTATCGGCTTACCTGATGCAAATAAACACCGACTCGTTTCGGTGAAGGGAGTTTAAAGGTCGAAGTACAGATACTCCCATTTTCAACTTTCGGGGAGGCGTTTGAGAATGCCTATGGTCAAGAAAACCTCAAAGACCAAAATCTCTTAAACCCCGTGCAGTCGGTGTAATAAACGCAATCGAACATTTTTTTCATGGCCAGGATTATTGTTTGGTTTTTTTTAACGTGTGTGTACTTTTTTGGGTTTTTATGGCGATGCAAAAGGCAACAAATTCCGCCCTTTGAATGGACAATCAAGTTATATAATACACATATTAAAACAGACTTGCATTTTGACAGCATTGCATTTTTTTGTGCCTGACGCATAAAACGTATTAAGCAAAAGGGTGTTTAAAGATGTTAAAGTCGCTGTGACTAGTAAGGTTATAATACTGTTTTCAATACATCGGCCAACCGACAGAGGGTTTCTATCCTTACAGGTAAAACAGAAATGAACAGGGTGGCATTTGTACGTCTCTGTGGTGCCCTCTTGTGGTTGTCTTGTGTCACGGCACGCCAATCCACTGTGGTTCACTTCTGAAGAAGGAAGATGTCCCCAAAACTGAGAAATTTATAATAAATTGTTAAGTATCTGGGTTGAAGGCAGGGGGGTATTCTAATTAAAGCCGAACTTTCTACTGCAGTCCAGATTGCGACCAGAATGCGGTGCCTTCCGTAAGTTAATATGATATGATAATATCGAAGAAAGCAGGGATGACATTTTACAATCTGTTCTGGAGATTTGAACAGCAATTAACAGTAGGTGGCTGGCAGAGCCTCCTGCGCCTGCTAATTTAAATTTGATCCCGCGATTCCGTTGTCGGCGTTCGCTTATTTAATATTCGCTTTAATATTCATCGACTTTCCGCGCGTTCGTGAGCGATACGATACAGTAAAAACGGGGAGAAGAAAGGTGTTTTGATTTCCGCCTGCCCGAGGATCAGAAGTCGAGTTTGGAGTTTGGGGTGTTGGGGTACTGTTCACGTGCTCGTTCCTGAAGTCCCTCTGGGTTAAGTCTTCCGATCCGTTCGCGGGTTCCAGGGGTCGATCGCCATTTCAATGGAACTGCGTTACAAAAGTGTTCCCGGCGCTGGGCACCGCTGTGCAGTCTCAAACCCTTTCCTGCAACCCCACTCACTGTAGCGAATCTTGCCACTAGCTAGCTAAATCAGGAAACCGCAGCAGGAAATAAATCATCTACGTGTAATGATCAGTAACGGGTTCATGCGGCCTTAAGTGGTGACACGAACCCAGGGACACAGGTGGAAACTAAGGTTTAATGCATTTAAAATTGAGGAAGGGAGCCACGTCTATACACAGAGGGTAGCAGGGGCATGCAACAAGCCGATACCCGGCGTCTTTCAAGAAACGAAAGAAAACTGTGGATCCACAGCTACTACCGAGTTCGCTAGGCTGAGTGTCCTCCTCTCCTTTCCAGCTTTTTATGTTCTGGTGTTGCTCTTCGGTTCGTGTTGCGTTTCAGTGTGCGAGTATCTCGCCTTTTGAGCGTCTGAGGCGATAAAACATGCGAGTGAGAAGCTGCGTCTTGGGAGCGAAATGGTCAGGAACAAGCAGATTTTGATCAACACATTAAAACATTGCAGAGGGGAACCCAGGCTAATTTGAAGGGGCCCTGAGATGCTAAATTAGAAGGAGAGAGACTATCTGGAAATGATCTATGATGTTTGTCCACTTGAATTACAATTTACGTGCTTGAGAAGAAATTGCGGAGATGATTCGATCAGACAATTCGTGTAGATGAGATTAAAATAACTTCACAAAAATGTGAGAGGATTAAAGGTGTGTGTGTGGGTGGGGGGTAGTTCTCCTGATGAGGGGCATTGTTGCATTGTGAAACTCGTCAAAAGCCATCAGAGCTGATACTCTTTCACAGCTTTCCGAATTCCAGTTCGGCGCCACAGGGACGCAGGTGAATTTGTGTTTGAAAGGGGAGAGGCGTCTTCATTAACGGGGCTCCGCGTCACCGAAACTCCTTTCTCTCCAGACTGCCGAGCCGCGGGTCCAGAGCCCTCGGTCCTCTCTGCGTGGTGGGAGTCGCCGGAGCCAGTTCCAGCCGGAGACAAGAGAGCCAGGCAGGTAAGGACGCGATTCCCTCTTTTCTAGTCTCCCTTGCAAAATGCAAGCTCTGCTACCCTCCCGGTCTCCAAGTTCCGAATGGCAAATCCACGGGTTTGAAGGGAGTCCGTGAAGAGCCCGTTTTCTGCCTCGGACAGGTAGCGTTGCGGTCTGAAAGAATCGAACAGGGGCTCTGGAGCGAAAGGCTCATATATTATTATCCTACTAGAATTTACCGAGACCTGCGAGTCGGCTGCTGGTTTTCGTTGGGAATTGTTGTACCTTCTCATGAGTTTGCCTGTCGAAGACTTTTCTCCGGTGTGATGGGGGTATTTTACTGATATAAAGTTTTGGAATGCTGCCTTTTCCACCCACGGCTGTATCGATTTTCTGTTGTTTTTTTTTTACTAAACGGACAAGAGAGTCCCACCTCAGAGCGGCCACTGAGCGGTCTAGAAAGAAGGGTCGTTCATGTTGGGGGGGTATGAAATACTATTTCCAGCTTTGTTTTAGGCTTAATTTGACTGACGGCTCGACAATTTAATTATCCACGCAGATTGTAAGCGAGCCGGACGATGAAAATGCAGTTCCCCTCAGCGGCTGCCACGTTTTCCTACAGCGGGGCGCGCCGGGGCTGTTTTTCGCTCCCCTGCCCCGACCCCGGGTCCGAGTGGCGCAGCCAGCGCGCCGGCGGCCGCCCGTGGCCGCTGTCCCCGCCGGTCTGGCAGCCCAGTCCGTCCAGCCGGGCCCCAGACCTGTGGGCTCCCGGGCCCATGTGCTATAGCAGGCCCAACTTCTGCAGGGGATCCCCGTTACCTCCGTTTCAGAGCGGGAGGGCGCACGGAACCAGGCAGGCGCACCAAAACACACATAGCCAAACAGGATCACACGTAAGCAAACTGAATCGCGAGTATACTGTATGTATTTCTGAGACTGATGTGAATGTGTGATGGAGTCGATCTTCAAAAGCCAAGTTACGACCTCATTTCCTCTGCCTAAAGCAGGGAACTCGCACTCAGTTCCTGGAGGGCCTAGTCTCTTCTGGTTTCTGTTACAACCTGCGTTGTCAATTAGTCAATTAACCTAATTATTTTCTAAATTAGACATTTTTAGGATTTTTCTTGAGGTCATTCGCAAATGATTATTCAAGACGTTTAGTAAAACTAGTTAACTATAAATCATCTTGGTGCCTGCTTAGAAATATTACCATGATACAGCTAATTAAGTGATTATCCCAGCTAATTGACTAGTGTCACTGGCAACAAGGGTGGAACAAAAAACAGAAGACACTAGGTCCCCCAGGAAGTGAGTCTGAGACTCCTGGTCTAAGTTTTCTGTTCTCACGGGTTAAGTTCGCACTGTCGGGGTTTTTCGCGAAACCCGTTTAGTTTACTCCGGGCATTGTGATGACATTAGTGGGTGAAACCAGGTGTGGAGTCAGTCTGTCCTGTGTAAGAGTGAGACCCCAAACAGAACCCCTCATCGTAGTCCTGGGTGCCCTACAGGGTTTGAAGCCCAGCTTCTCCCAGGTCC